ATTTCTGTTAAGAAAACGATGCTCGCCCGTGTCTCTATTGGGCTCTCAACATTGAATTGTTCCCGTTCATATCTACTCACCTCTGCTCAGATCCATCACTGGGGGAGGGTGGGGTGGGGAAGACCCCGGGGGAGGTGGGGGATGTGCGGGGGGCAGACCCCGGATGGCGTTGACTTCCTGTTTGTATTGATCCATTGTCCACCGAAGGCCAGCTCTATGGTTTTTGAGGAGCCCTCACTCCCAGAGGTTTTGATGAGTTGAAGGTGAAGTCTTTGTGGTTATACACTGTAATGTCTGCCAATACAATCTCCTCATACTGGTGCACAGTAAGATGGTCCAACGTCAACTATCAGTTGCTTATTTGTGAAACCCCTTGCAATGTTTATGTTCAAGGTGCTATCTGAATGCCAAATGATGTGATGAAAGACAATGATTGGGGATTGACCTAGCAGTGTTGTAAAAAGGAACTCTGCTGTGATGAAGTGCGTGCTCTGCTCCTGTTGTACGGCCTTCTAGCAACGTGTCTTTTTTTAAATTCTGTGTGAAAGCTCTAATAATTCTGCTCATTTCCTCTTCTCTGCCCTTGAAGCTGTTGAGCTAAGCCTGTGGGTTCGTCTCCTGTTGCTGAGAGCAGAGTGCAAGGTGTGAGCCCTTGTGTCCATTGAGCTGACTGTAGATTGTGTGACCATCTTGGTTTACCTATGGTCCTGTGGTTTAGAGGGGAAAGTTCACTCTGCCTCCTCCTTTTGAACAATATGCAAGAAGACAGTGTCTGATAGTACCTTGTCTCCATGTACTCAGTCTCATAGTGATTGGAAGTGTGTATCCAAAGAGAGTCTGAAGCCATGATGCAAGATGACAGAAACAATTAGCCATTGCTCTGAACTAATCAATCTTGTCTTCATTTATTAGATCCTTTTTCATAGAGAGTTAGCGACAGTGGCAACACAGAATAGAGTGAGAATCCAGCAGGAGTCAGTGCTTTTTGGGACATGATAGGAGAGGGAGTGATCAGAGCTTGCTTCAGTTTGTGACCAGCAGAGACATGATGGGCTGAACAGTCTCGTTCAGGGCTGGGAACAATCCTGTTGGTATGTTTAGACCAGGTGAGGACATGGAGGAGGTTTTGTGTGCTGATGGGATAATTGTTGGAAGTGGAAGAGTGCACCGCAGCATGTTTCTCCCTGTGTGATGAGCAGGGCTGCGGAGGGCACCATGACCATATGGTACCAGAGGCTGCATGAATTGAGCTGCGTGCGTGCAGCAGTAAGAGCTGAGCAATGGGACTGACTGCTTCTGCATGAGGGCTGTCTCAGCCATTGCCGCTTCTGGTTAGTGCTGCAATCTGGATGCACACGTGTCTGGACGTTGAGTGGAGTCAGATGAGTACATCCAGTCATCCTGGACTGAATTCTTATCACGCATGTTCCAGAGGTGTCCTTGGATACTGACAGGGAGGCGTGTGTTTTACACTCTGCTGGCCACAGGCAAGCAGCCAAGCTTTGATTCGGTTGAGCTACCTGCAGTGTGATGAGGTTGATGAGAGGTGTTAAAACAAGTTTTATTCCTTCTCTCAGCATGAGCAAAAGAGTTGCTTATTGATAATGAAGCTGGTCAGGTTCTGGGGTTGGGTTTGGGGCTGGCAAAACAAAGCATCACACATGCTGGAAATCTCTAACAAAAACAGCGAGTTGTTGGAGAAACTCAGCAAGTCTCCCAGAATCTGGGGGCTGAGGCAACAGATGACATGAACGTTTTTGATTCCAGTTCTGAAGAAGGGTGACAGGACTTCAGCATAACTCTGTTTCGTTCCCTGCACAGATGCTGCCAGAGCTGTTGAGATGTACCAGCAAAATCTCTTTTGGTTTGACACAGGGAAGGCTCTGGCATTGGGTGGATGGCCACGTTCATGTTCTGTTGAAGATTTCCCTCCAATGGTCTGATGTGGGTTAAAGTGGTCAAACCCCATCCCTAGAGCTGAGTTCACCTCAGATTGCACGCTCCCATTGGTCCGACTGGTTCTGTCCAATGGAACAAAGCCCTGTCTTAATCCCAGGAAATTTTTTGCTTGGCTGTCTTTCAAACAGTACAAACACAGCCCAAATGTCAGCTTGCTGCAGTTAGCAGTTTGGAGTCTCAAGGGTTATGCTGGAAACCACAATTGCTTGCACTGGTCTCATACAATTCTGTATTGTATGAGTCGCGTATTGACCCTAAACACACTGATCCTTGCTCCTGTTCTGTCCTCTTCCAGTGCATGAGTACTCATTTGTCTGAAAGCTGTTCCTGTTACCAATCAAATGAATAATGCAGGAAATGGACTAAGCAGTTGGGTGTTAATTTTTCCAAGTCATTTCCAGGCCAATTGGTCTCTGTGGCATTTTGTGTTCACCCAGTAATGTAGCAATCAGTGATAAGATACTCAAAGGGACGGCTGAGCGGAGCAGAGTAAACCAGAGCTGATGGCAAAAGGTTGGTTTTGCATGTAATTATATAAAGCCATTGACTAGATAGGCTTCAGATGTAGAATACTGGGTACTTAAGTTGAAACCTTTCTCTCAAAACAGATTACAAAGATTACTGTGAAGTAAATATTGTGTCCTCTGGCAAACTGTTTCTACCATAAACACGAAATGAGCGCTCTCTTTCTCAATACCCTGCTTTCTAAGAGAAATGGAAGACTGTGCGTTGCTGTTTTCCTTACTCAGATTCTGAAGTCCTGAATCAATATTGAGGGCTCTCTGCTGACTGGACAGTGTGCTCGGTGAGCAGGGATGTTGATAGCTATGAATCCTTGCTTGTGACACTGCTCACTTGGGTATCTTGGAGCAAACTTGCGAGATGACCCTACACGCTTTGGTACAGTCTGCAGGAGATGGCAAGAAGGACTTGTGCTGAGCATCAGCTGGAGGTGCATTTCTCACATTAGGCTACAAATGCTTTTGTTTTAGCTGTGTTTTCTCATCTCGAGTGGATTGCTTGGCCAATTCAGAGGGTCCAGGTGACCCTCAAGCTTGTGTGTGGCCTTTTTTATAAGTCATTGCCAAGATCGGAAAGCTTATTGGTCATCATGCTCACAGCTTCCAGATAGGAAGTGATTGGCAGGTTTCTCAAGGCTGCCAGGATAGGTCTGAAGTCATTTACTGAGCAAGCAACCACTGTACTGGAGAACGCTGCCATTCCAACTGTCAATCTCATGGACACGTGGTGAGCTGGTTGAAGTTTCTTTCCCATTCTGCTCCTCTAGCGGGGTTGGTGCGTTACTTAGTCCCCAGCGTTTCACTCTCAGCATTGTGACTTGCCCCCACTCCCATTTCTTGCCCCATTCACAAGAAAATTGTGGTTTGCGGGATATGACGAGAATGAGTCCACTATCAGAAGGTAAAACTTCGTGCAGTGTGTATTGGCAGCCTGATGCTGTTGAATGGAGCATATGTGGGATTATGGGCTGCTCAGCCTTATCAAACAATGCTGTGAGCAACCATGTTATGCCTTGCATGCAGTGAAATGCTCCCTCGGTTCTACCCTGACGACAAGCCTCTGGTTTTATGGATCATTGCTCAGTAGTACCAGCTGTTGCCATGGCCTGTCTCTCAGTTCTGCTGGTAGCCTTGCCTTGGCATTTTTCTGTGCAAGGTGGGCATACCTTGTTTGATAAATATAGACAGGAGTCTGGCTTCTGAAGCACATTGGCCATGCTGAAACCCAGTTTTCTGAGGTGAAAGTCACGTGTGGTACCTGACTGCCCCACATCTGAGATGATAAACTCACACATTACCTTCTGTTACCTTTTTAACTTATTCTGAAGTGATTATGAAATTGCTATCTATGTATTTCCAGAGGGTTGCCATACTTAGCACCGCACTGTAATCTGAGAGTCCAGTCCTTAGGGGATGTGTAGTATGAGGCATTAGGGTCTGTCTGTGGTATACCAATGAAATGGTGTATGTCACAGGAAGTTACAGTCACATGATCTTGTGCCTTGCAGCCCTGTGGCAAGCTGGAGCCACAGGATAGTATTTTCTGAATAAACCACCTGTTTTCCTTTTACCTTTGTCGACTCTATAATTATTCTTCAGCAACTTTTGGAATACTGCATCCAGTTCTGGTCTCCCTGCTACAGGAAGAATGTTGTGAAACTTGAAAGGGTTCCGAAAAGAT